AGTGCCCTCATCTCATATGCAAGGAGAGACTTGAGCCCAGAAGGAGGGTTAGATTACAGTCATGGTGACAGCGTTGAAGCCTTGGGGTCCTGATACTTAGTCCCAGGCCACCCAAGTTCTCCTGAGGCTGGTCTTCCAAAGGCCCAAGTGTGTGAGAGTTAGACCCATCTCTCTCCTCCCTAGGGTGTGCTGTGCCGGACTCTGCAAGGCCATGGCCACTGGGTAAACACCATGGCACTCAGTACTGACTACGCCCTGCGCACAGGGGCCTTCGAGCCAGCCGAGGCCACAGTGAATGCCCAAGACCTGCAGGGGTCCTGTGAGTTAAACAGGAGCAAGGGGGAAGGCAGCTCTGAAAGAAGCTGGCTCTGTCCCACGGATGGGAGCGTTGGCTGTTGGTGTCGGGTTTTCTAATCAGCCTCGTTCCTCACCTTCTCCCCCCGCGGTGCCTGACACAGTGCAGGAGTGGAAAGAGAAGGCACTGAGTCGCTACAACCTCGTGCGGGTGAGTGCAGCAGTGCGTCCCCAGGCCTGTGGGGTCCCCTGCCTTCCGGCTGCCTATTCTGGAGGGTCCTTCCTGGCCAGCCTGAATCTGGAAACCTGAACGTGCTAGAGGGCGCTCATTGGTTTTGTTTGTCCATCGTGAAATAAGTAAGGCACTTCTATTTGATTTAGTGTGATGGCAGACACATTCACATCTAACGATCAAAGAATCCAGAAAGTTCGCTACCACTACTCCCTTCTATGTTGGACAGCCATGCATTCATGAGAGCCATCCAGTGTTACCAGCATCGTGTATATACATGTCTTATGTACAAGCATCCACATGTATAACACGTGTTCATGTCCCCTCACTGTGCCATGTAATTGCTTTGGCCTGTGAACATACAGCTTAGAAGTCATGCCAGGAGCACAGTCTTGCCTTTTCCTTATGAGTAAAGGGACTTGCCCATTCTCTCATATTACCCTGGCCTCTGTTCTTGGTGTCGGGGAGTCAGTGCAGTCCGAGTCTGACGTGGTGTGCCTTCTGCCTGCCCTAGGGCCAGGGCCCGGAGAGGCTGGTGTCTGGCTCAGATGACTTCACCCTGTTCCTGTGGTCCCCAGCAGAGGACAAGAAGCCCCTGGCACGGATGACGGGACATCAGGCCCTCATCAATCAGGTGCTTTTCTCCCCTGACGCACGCATCGTGGCCAGTGCCTCCTTCGACAAATCCATCAAGCTGTGGGACGGCAGGACTGGCAAGTGAGTGGGGCAGGGACCTTTCTCTGCACGGAGGGAGAGGTGGGAAGAGTTCTGTGTGCCCCGTCCTCACTGTGCCAAGTAAGTGTGTCACACCAGTGTGGGTTCATCTCCTATATTAAGAGGGAAGTGACCTTAGAAGTAGCCAAGGTGCCAGGGAAGTGGGAAGTAGGTTTGGGACAGTGCGCGTACCATCCTCAGTGCCCCCCCCCCCCCAGTGTAGTCCATCCCCAGAGTGTGGTTCACAGATCAGCAGCCTTTTTCTGATCAGACACGTTGATGAGGTCACCCGGTGTGAGTCGCAGGCAGTGTTCTCAGGACTAATTAGGCTGGAGGGGAGGCCAGAGGCCAGGATATGGACCAGCAGAGAAAAGCAGTAAAGGGACCTGGTTGCCTGGAACTGAGTCCCCGAAAGGCTTAAAATCCTGGCTGGAGTCCCAGTTGGACTGTGTTAACCACCAGGTTTCAGGTGGGCCTGTCTGGCTGCTGCTGCGGCCACCTGCCAGCAAGCAGCTGTTGTGTAGGAGGGGCGTGGGGCAGATGGACTAAGCAGGTGGCGATGTTGGATCTTAAGGCATGCAGAGTGGTGCCGATATGGAGGCCTGGCAAGAGGCACCCTCGAATCAGCCCATTTGGAGGAGTTTTGCAAAACAGTTACGACTGGTAATGATCTAAATGGTCTGGAGCAGGTGCCAGGTGGGGAGAGTCTATAAAAGGTCCTGGGAAGTTCTAGCTGGTAGCCGGGCTTAGGAGCCACTGCTGGGGGCCCTCAGGGACCCTTCAGGCAGGATAACGATCTCACACCCAGCCTCGTCCCTGCCCAGGTACCTGGCCTCCCTGCGTGGCCATGTGGCCGCAGTGTACCAGATTGCGTGGTCCGCTGACAGCCGGCTGCTGGTGAGCGGCAGCAGTGACAGCACGCTGAAGGTGTGGGATGTGAAGGCCCAGAAGCTGGCCACAGACCTACCAGGCCACGCCGATGAGGTGGAGTACAGCCTGGGTAGAGGGGACTGAGACTGCAGCCCAGCTCTCCCCACACCACCTCACTCGTCTTCCCTGGGCAGGTGTATGCTGTCGACTGGAGCCCGGATGGCCAGAGAGTCGCCAGCGGCGGGAAGGACAAGTGCCTGCGGATGTGAGTGGCATGTAGGGAGGTCAGGGTGCTCAGGCGGGTGCCCCCAGAGGCTGACAGTCCTGAGGAGATAGGAAGACAGAGGTCTCAGTGGGCAAAGGGGCACCTGGAGCTGCAGGATTGAGGGGAGCCTGACAGTCCTTGGGCCCCTACCTAGGGATACATCCGGTGCCTGCCCAGCATCAGGCAGTGCGTGGTGGTTGTTATAGCCTGGGCTTCAGGCCCTGCGCCTGGAGTGCCCCTCCTGGTTCTGCCTTGTGTGGTGTGGTCGCAGAGACTTGGTGAACTGCTTTCTTGGGGTTAAAGGGAGCACACTCTGAGACCTAAAGTGCGGTCCTTGACAAGGATGCTCGCCGCCGAGTGCCTAGCTGGGAAGGCAGGGGCACCTGCTGTGTGAGTGGCCAGAGCAGGGCGCAGCCAGGCTCCCCGACAGTGGACCGGGATTGTATGGCAGCCTTCTTACCGTCTCACTTCCCTTCTTCACAGATGGAGGAGATGAGGAGCCCCATGCTTCTCTCAACCCTTCCTGGACGGGGTCCTGGCCGGCTGCCTGCCCTGCAGGAGCAGAATTGGGTGGCCTTGCACAGCCCCTCTCCGGTGGTGACCTGAGGATGCCCATGCACCCTGCTCGGTCTCTGTGGGTGCCTTCCCTGTGGCACCATCCAAGGCCAAAAACAAGAGGTTGTCCCAAGTCAGGGCTCACTCTTGACTGGCTGACCAGCCTCCGATGCTGCCCCTGTATTCTTTTCCAAGAGTCAGCTCCGTTCAGGGGCAAACCACAGGTTGTATGACTATGAAATAAATAACTTATATTTTGTGTTTGGGCTGTGTCTTCTTGTAGAAGCTCAGGGTTCAATCAGCGACTATGCTAAACCCATTTGTCTGGCCTGCCCCCTGCATCACATGAGGCCAAAACCCAAAAAATGTCCAGGAAGTTGCCTTCCCTCCCTTATCCTACTGTCTGTCAGAAAGGTTAGTGCCGTTGTGGCCGGAGGATTTGCTAGGGCTGTACTGTCCGGTACAGAAGGCACTGGCCACGCATGCCGTTTACGTGAACCAGAATTCAGCATGGAGAGGATCCTCGGGCCCTTGGTCCTGCCAGCTGGAGGCTCCAGCTCTGCACAGCAAGAGAATGTCTTGCAGGGCATGTGCTTGGCAAAGCAGTCAAGATGCCACTAGGGCACCTGCCTTCCATAGCTTGAGGGAGGGTTCAAGTCTCAGCACTACTGTGCCCCCCAGGAGGCAGCAGATGGTTGATGGCTCAAGTACTCAGGTCCCACGGCCCAGATGAGAGAGCTGGGTGGGGTTCTGGGCTCCTGGCTGCTGCCTGGCTCGGGCCCAGCTTGTGAGCGTCTGGGAGGGGGTGAGTTAGTAGGTATGAGATTTCACACTCTTTCAAGTTGGAAATAAATAAAGCATTTTTTCTTTAAGATTTATTTATTTTTATTGGAAAGTCAGATATACAAAGAGGAAGATCCAGCCTCTGATTCACTCCCCTCACCAGGTGCAAGGTCCAAAGGCTTTCACAGGCCACAAGCAAAGAGCTAGATGGGAACTGATTAGAACCAGTGCCCATAAGGGATCCTGGCGTGTGCAAGGTGAGGACCCTAGCTGCCAGGCTACTTCACCAGGCGCAAATAAAGGATTTTATATATAAACCGTTTTCTGAGGCTCTGCTGGCCACAAGTGCTGTACTGGGGACATAGGGAAGACAAGTGATGTGGTTGGGATGGTTCTTGGTCCTGGGACTCTGTAGTGAGGAGAGCAATCCCCACCTGGCTGCTGTCTGGGCATGCCCAGCCACCACTGGAGCCCTGCATCTGCTGCTAACCTGGAACCTTACTGAGGGCCACAGGGCTTGTATCCATTCCTCTCCTGCCCTCCCACACAGCCCAGAGAGCTGTGGCTCGACTCCCACCTTGTGTGTCTGCTATGTGGCTGTGTGCCACCTGCCGAGCCCTCCTTCACAGCCTACACCCGTGCCTGGAAGAGCACCACATCTTCATGGTGTTGATGAGCAACTGAGGTTGGGGGCATCTGTGACCTGCCCCTGTCTTCTCACGCAGCAAGAGGAAGGACCAGGATTCCACCAAACCTGCCATGAAGCTTGTACACTTAGCACCATGTCCTTCCAGTGCTGGCCTCCAGCACCAAGTCTCTGTGCTGCCACACATCTGTCCAGCTACTTTCCTGGTGCAGGTGTCTGTTCCTCCCACAAGGGAAGGGGCAATGGCAGAGGCAGGCAGCAGGTGATGGCACTGTCCCATCACCCAGCCACCTCTACTCTGGAACTCTTGGTCCTGTCAGAAGCTAGGCCCTGGGGAGAGGGGCTGGGGGAGCCAGCCTGAAGCAGACTTTCCAAAGGCTGGGTGACCTGCAGTTCTTTAATGAGGAACCTGGACCCAGCCCAGATCTGGGGAAGGAGGGAGCGTAACAGCAGTAGGCAGTGGTTGAGCCTGGCCTGAGATGTGTCTAGGCAAGTGGGGCCCCTGTCTAGCCTCAGCTGCAGCCCAGGGTGGGGTACCAGTGCCACGGGCCCTGGACCCTGGGCCGTCAGGATCATCAGGTTCTCTGGCATGGTGCTGGTGGTACAGTGCAGTATGTTCCTGCGGGCCTGGACTGAAGCTGGTGGAGGATGGGGGCATCCCGTGGCCTCCCCTCAATAGGGAAATAAGTGTTCCAGGTCTTCAACCCTCCGCATCTCCTCCACCGTGATGGCCACGGTTTTCCGCTGGGGCTCCCGGCGCTGCACGGTAATCTGAATGGGATTGTTCTCGGGAAAGCTGTTGTAGTCAGTGGCCACGGTCGCAAACTAGAACGGAACAAGGAAACTCCTCAAGATGTCCCCTTCCTATCACATCGGAGCCTGGCTGCCCATCCCTGTTCCTCCAACCCTCCCCACCTTTTTTTTTTTTTCCAGATGAGATCCTGGATATGGAGACAGGTCCAACAAGGCAGGACTCACACCTGCACCTCTCCACTCACGTGACAATTCCAAGCAAAGGGCTGAGTGTCCTTGGCCCCTTCTCAGTGCCCCTGCCCGTTCTCAGGGTGCCCATGACTTCCCCCACTTTAGCCTCTTGCCATCCCCGTTTGCCTAGACTGCCTGGCACACACAAATTTGTGTGAAATAGAGGAATCCAAAACCAATGGCTTTGGAAGGGAGGCATCAAGTGGTCTGACTTGAAGCCTCCTGGCTGGGACACAAAGCTGCTTTCCTGGCTTCAGGCATCAGACCCCAGGCCCCGGGCCCCTCTTCTCCCGGGCTTACTTTGTAGGGCTTGCACCACTTCCCCACCCCAGCTGCATTGGCAGCACGGACGGTGAGGCAGTAGCTGGTGTTGGGCTTCAGCTCCATCAACTTGACCGTGGTGCCCAAGATCTTGTTGAAGATCCATGGGCGGTTGTTTGCCTTGGGCGAGTCAGCATCCTCCGTTTTCTTGGCCACTTCTTGCAACAGCACCTGGTAGAAACTGACCTGCTGCTTGCCCAGGGAATAGGTCCAGGAGATCTAGGGCGAGAGAGAGAGCCCGAGGCTTCCACAGACCTGGCCCATCCTTTCTAGTCCTACCCGCCACCCCCACAATATGGGTCACAGGACGCATCCCTCTCCCTTGCTCCTGCTGAGACCCAGTCAGGCCTGATGGGAGGGACAAGGCACTCCATCCCTGGCTGGGGAACCACCTGCCCCAAAGCAGGAGCTACACAGCTAGCACCCCCATGTTTCCTTTCGAGAGGGACCCTAAGAATCATCTTGTTCACTCCTTGAAAGTGGGACCACAGTCACAGTACTTAAGCTGGAGAGCCAAGGTCCCCGCCCCAGTCTCCAGGGCCCACACGCTGCCTAACTGTCCTGGGGAGTTCTTACGGCACAGCACACTTCTGCCGGCCCATGTCTGATCTGTCTCTAGTCTCTGCGTTCCAGCCAAGAATTCTCAGTGTTTAGTTGGCGTCAAAATACCATGGTAGCCTTGTTAGAATTTACATGGCCAGCCACACCCTTACAGTTGCTGATTTATCAGGTTAAGAATTTAAATTTCGGGCCTGGTGTGGTAGCCTAGTAGCAAAGGTCCTTGCCTTGCATGCACCAGGACCCCATATGGGCACCAGTTCGTGTCCCAGCTGCTCCACTTCTGATCCAGCTCCCTGCTTGTGGTCTGAGAAAGTAATGGAGGATGGCCCAAAGCCTTGGGACCTTGCAACTGCATGGGAGACCCGGAAGAAGCTCCTGGCTCCTGGCTGTGGATTGGAGCTCAGCTCCAGCTGTTGTGGCCACTTGGGGAGTAAATCAGCAGATGGAAAATCTGTCTCTTCTCTCCTCTCTATAAATCTGACTTTCTAATAAAAACAAAATAAATCTTAAAAAAAAAGTTCTCGGGACCAGCACTGTGGTATATCAGGCAAAGCCACTACCACCTGTAACACTAGCATCCTATATGGGCATTGGTGCGAATCCTAGCTGCTCCACTTCCAATCCAGCTCCTTGCTAATTTGCCTGGAAAGCAGTGCATGGGACCTGCAGCCATGTGCAAAATTGGAAGAAGCTCATAGCTCCTGGTGTTTGCCTGGCCCAGCCAGCCATTGTGGCCATTTGGGGAGTAAAGCAGAGGATGGAAGATTTTCTCTCTAACTCTGCCTTTCAAGTAAGTAAAAACATTTTTTTTAATAAATAAATAAATAAATTGCTGATGACTGTGATGCTGGTGCTCCCACTCTCCCCTTGGAAATCTCCCTTTGAAACATGGCTCCGGGCCAGTGGACACGAGGCTTCCAGAGTCATCTGCCGCAAAGGCAGCTCAGGTACACCTGTGCCTGACGGAAGGCCAGGCTTGCACCAAGCTGTGGGGCCCTCTGAGAAACGGTCCCTCCCTCTGTGCCCCTCTGCCCATCCTCTAGGGCTGTGCACCTGCGCGTGGTCCTCCCAGCGGCAGCATCACATCACCTGGCAATCAGGGTGATGAATGTTCTCGGACCTCACTCCGACCCTCCATGGAGAGGCCCAGGAATCTGGATTTTCACAAGCTGACAGGTGACCTTAGGAGGATGAGCATGGATTGGGGCCAGGGGGCATGTCCTCTTGATCTGCCCCACCGGTAAGCCTTTGCTAGGGCTGGCTTCTCCAGCGGACACTCTTCCATCTCCAGGTGCTTAAAGCCTACTTCTGGGGTCCAGCATAGAAGGTGCCAGAAGCCAGCAAGCTGAGGCTGTAGCCAGAAAGAATGTTTCCTTGTGGATTCTTGATAGAACTGGATGGAATTTTTCCTATAGCATCGTACCCTTCCTATCTTGCCCTGGGAGTTCTTTAGAACCATGCTTTCTCTCCCTTCCTGAACCATGAGGGCTGCCTACACACGCCCCACGAGGCTCGGCTTGGGGCCTGGCATGGGACCTGGCATGGACGTCTTTGCAGAACTGTACCGACAAGGGAAACGCACCACAGCCGTGGAGTCGCTGACGGTGTGCTCACAGATGAATGGGGCCTCGGGCACATCCACGACCACGGAGGATTCGGAGTGCGTGGAGGAGGTGTCTGTGTCCAGCGCAGGGTTGTCGAGGTCCACCAGCCCCCCGGGGGTCATTTGGGACTTAGACGGGCATGGGCAGAGGGCCAGGTCATCCTTGTCTGTTTTCTTGGCCCGGGAGGGAAAACTGAGTTTGTTCAGCTCGCCCTCGAGCATGCCTGCAAAGAAGCTGCTGTTGGGCTGACTCACGGCCAGTTTGACAGGGTTCATCAGGCTGGACGACATGGGCGTGATGCTGGTGTCATCGGAGCTGAACTCAGAATCTTCCGTCAGCATTGATTTCCTGAAGTGGGAGGAGAGACGGGGGACTCAGGGGAGGGAGGCCCCCAGCCCATCCAGCCCCACTGCTCTGCAGGAGGACATCACAGCTGCCCTAGAGACTCAGAAAAGAGCAGTCTCTGCTTAGTCCCTGGACTCCCGTGGGGATGGAACTGCAGAAGCTGCATCTCCAATAAGAGCTGTAGAGGACTCGAGCAGGAGTGCTGGGAACTACAATTTGACAAGTACTGCTAGCACGTTAAGTCCTCCCTATGCAGTAGGGCATAGATACCCCAGGGAACGGATGTGGGGAAAACATAAGCCCTCCAAAAGGAAAACTATAAATTAAGCTACACTACTATCTACATACTATGATGTACTATTTAATGCCATCACTAGTAGTGATTTCCATGTTAAAAAATATTTATTAATATATCATCTATAAAGTTACAGGGTTGGCACGGCAGGTTAAAGCACCACATATGACATCAGCATTCCGTATCAGAGCAGACGCTTTGAGTCCTAGCTGTTCTGCTTCCAATCCAGCTCCCTGCTAAGGTACCTGGGACAGCAGAAGATGGCTCAAGCACATGGGACCCTGCACCCATGTGGGAACACCCAGATGGAGGTCTGGGCTCCTGGCTCCTAGCCTGTCCAATGAGGGCCCTTGCAGCCATCTGGGAGATCAACCAGCAGGTGGAAAATCTTTGTCACTCCTTCTCTCTCATCACTCTTTCAAATAAGTACAATAACTTTTTTAAAAAATTGGGGGCCAGTGCCATGGCATGGTAGATTAAGCCTCCACCTGAGGTGCAAGCATCCCATATGGGTGCTGGTTCAAGTTCCAGCAGCTCCACTTCCAATCCAGCTCCCTGCTTGTGGCCTGGGAAAGCAGTTGAGGATGGCCCAAAGTCTTGGGATCCTACACCCGTGTGGGAGACCCAGAAGAAGATCTGGACTCCTGGCTTCAGATGGGCACAGCACTGTCCCCTGTGGTCACTTGAGGAGTGAATCATCGGGGGGAAGATCTTCCCCTGTGTCTCCCCTCCTCTCTGTATATCTGACTTTGTAATAAAAAATAAATAAATCTTTTTTAAAGAGTAAGAAATATATATTTAAATATAAGTATGTGTGTAAAATATATGTAATAAACATGTAATATGGCAACGTGGCTTAACAATGTATACCTATAACTAAACATTTCAGGGACCAATACTTTCTGATCCTGTTCGTCTTTAATGTACTGCAGTAACCGAGAGGGTCTCCTGACCCACTGCATGGGTTACAATCCACAGCGTGTACCTCCCCTCCTCCCTCACAGGGTGGACTGATGGACCCAGATCTTCCTCCCTGATCTCCAGGGCCCTCCTGTTCCTCTCTCCTGACGCAGGCGCCCTCTGCCAGCCCTGGGTGGACATTTGGAGTAAGTGCCAGCCACGTAGTCTATGGGGTCCGGTGCACGGGGAAGTACTGAGCCACGTGTCGAGAAGGGATTAAGTCTTTTGAGTCGGTGACAGTGGAGCCTTCCGCTCAGTGCAGTCCCCTTGAGAGCACGAGGTGGCTGTGGCTGCACGGGTCACACATCCTGAAGCTGTCTGCATCTTCATTCCCTCTGCCCGCCTCGCCCGGCAGCTCCACTCTCTCCTGGCTCATGCCTTCCCTTGCCTGGTGATTCAACTCCTGTTTCATCTGAGAAGCTGCCTCCCGCTGGAGCCTCTCCCGACTTCACACAAGCCTCCTGAGGCCCCTCCGGCTCCTCCAGGCGCCCAGCACAGTCCTTAGCAAGCTGGGCTGTCCCCATGGCTGCCGACCACACCCCTGCCCCAACCTCCCATGCCGCAGCCTGGGCGCTCTTAAGGGAAAACCACCATGCTTTCTCTTCTGCTGCAGTCCCAGGGTTTAACCCAGGGCCAGGAATGAACAGTAGCGGGTCCAGGACTTGGGGAGTGAGGCTCACCAATCTTCATGGAGGAAAATTAGCTAAGACCAAATCGGATGTGGGGGCAGATAAAGGAGAGGACCGAGGGAGAGGGGCGCAGCACTGGTGGTGGCTAGGTCAGTGGCCAGACAGAGTAGGATGAGCAACAGCAGAGCTCCGTCTAATCCAGGAAGGCTTCCTGGAGGAAGAAGAGCCTTATACTCCAATCACTGATCCAGGGCTTAGGAGTGCAACCTGCAAACATGGGGTTTCCCGGGGGACCCTGGGACTTGGTTGTGCCAGACGAGGCAGTGCGGCTTCTCCTAGGCTTTGTCCCCGTCCCCCAGCCCGTGGACAGAGGGAAGTACCAGAACTGAGTCTCTTACCCGAAATTGGTGGTTTCTTCCTCCAAGAAGTTAGCCAAACTGCCTCTTGAGGTAAGTGGGAGTCCTTTGGTGGTGACAGTGCGGTTCATAGACTTGGGGTTCACAAAGTGCTTTGGCAGCTGTTCCAGTGCACTCATAAGATTGAGGTTCTCCTTCTTCAGCAGGGCCTCTTCCCCATCTCCCACTTTACAGAGTGCTTCCGCTGCCATCTGGTCTGTGACGGACCACAGCCACCGCCATGCAGGACACAGGAAGCAGAGAGAAATGGGCCCAGCAGACCTGCCCTTAGCTGGGGCAGGCTGGGGGTGCAATGGGCTGACTTCACAATTCACACACAATGTAACAATCAGGGCCTTGGGCCACAGGCTCCCGTGGGGCCACAGGAGGGCCGGACAACAAACAAACCGCAGCACCTTTCCAGGCCCTTCTGGGGTCAAGGTTACAGCAGCCCCACCCTGCTCTTTCTAAATCTTTTCTTGGAAAGACAAGGTGGTGTGGAGAGAGACATAGATGGACAGCTCTCCTCTCTGCTGGTTTACTCTCCAAATGCCCACAGCCGCCAGGGCTGGGCCAGGAGCTCAGAACTCAGCCTGGATCTATCTCGTGAGTTGGGCTCGGGTCACCTAAACTGTCATCTGCAGCCTGCCCAGAGCCCTGCCTCTCACAGTACAGCCCATCTGTGAGGACCTCCGGGAATGCCCAAGGAGCTGCCCTGGAAACAAAAGGATGAGGGAAAAGGTGCCTGGGCGTGGTGGGAGGCCCAGGGCACAGGCGGGCCTGGCCAGGGTCTGTAGGGATGGTCCACTCTGGCTACAGAGCTGGCATTCTCCCTCCTGAAGCTGCAGGCAGCAAACCCCACTGGGCAGGGAAAGGAAGCCACCTGATGGCTGGGGTGGGGGCAAGGGTGTTGAAACAGGGAAGCCCGAGGTGGAATTCCAAACGCACCTCCCCTCACGGCTCTGTTGGGTGTGTGGAGTGAGCGATAGAAATGGGCCGCACCACCGAGAGCTCTGCCCTCGGTGGCGGGAGGCACATTCGCGGCTGAAGGGACCGGCAGAGGGGGCTGAAGCTTCGCCTTTAGCCATGGAGATGCCCAGCCCTGTGCTGACTGTCGACCACCCCTGAACCTGCTGAGCTCCAGAAATCCCCATACCTGTGAATGGGGGACACACACTGTGTTGCGCTCATCATCTAATCAGCATAGCTCTGGATAGATTTGATTCCTTTTCACCGCCTGTCCTCTCCACCTCATTAGCTCCTTGAGGGTAGACGAGCTTCCAAGAGTTCAGCATTTTCGTTACCAGCTTTTGTAATGCGAGCTGGCACACAAGAGTCGGGGAAGGACGTGGAGGCCGAGGGCAGCCGTGGGTGCGGGGTGGGCGCGCGGGCGCTGGGCCACGCGGGGAGCTGGGGCTGCGGGGCAGGGAGGGCGCGCGGCGGCTCGCCCGGGGTGGCCAGCAGGCGGCGCTGCGGGCTCGGCCCACGCCGCGCGCGCCCGCCTGGAACCCGGAAGCGGCGGGCGTGTGGGCGCCGTGTCCTCCTCCTGCGCCCTCCACGCGCTCCTTCCTCCCGCAGCCCGCGCGCCAGGCCCCTCTCCAGAGGGCCGCCTCTCCAGAGAGGCGCGCGAGGGGCGTCCTGAGGGGGCTCTGCGGATGTCCACGTGACGCCCCGTCCCGGGCCCGCCGGGAGTATGGGTGTGCTCAGGGTCGGGCTGTGCCCTGGGCTCAGCCAGGAGATGATCGAGCTTCTGAGGAGCTGTGGGATCAGGACAGGTGACCGGCCTGGGCAGTCAGCCACACAGCTTTCCAGGGAGTCCCCGGGAAATGAGGCCGGGAAGGGCAGGAGCCTGTGGCTCAGCACCCCAGCCTCTTAGAGCTCCATGCCCTGGGGAAGCAAGGGTTCCCCATCCTATGGAGGGAGGCGGGGACCCCTGGCCTGGAAGCCCCCCTCGGGCAGTCAGCTCCAGGTGTTTTGTTTTCAGTGGTGGACCTGGCCTCCGCAGACCTGGAGGAGGTGGCCCAGAAGTCTGGCCTGTCCTATAAGGTGAGCTTCACCCTGGGATTGAGACGGAGCGAAGGAGGCGGTGGAGTGAGGGCAGTCCGGCCCGTCCCCCTGGAGGGCTCCTTGCCAGCTGGGCTGCTGTGGAGCCTGGTGTCCGGCCCTTTGGCAGGCCCTGGTTGCCCTGAGGCGGGTGCTGCTGGCCCAGTTCTCAGCTTTCCCCATCAACGGCGCTGACCTCTATGAGGAACTGAAGACCTCCACTGCCATCCTGTCCACAGGCATCGGCGGGTCAGTATGTGAACGTGGGAAGCAGATGGGCGGGGGTGGCAGCCTCTCAGCCGAGCCCTGGCTGCGTGGTTTTGGGGAGCACTGGTGGAAGCATTTGGGGGGTAGGCTGTGCTGAGCACTTTGGGGTGCGGAGCAGCACCTCTGGGCTCTTGCCTCAACACTCTCCCTCGCTCCTGACTGAGATCTCCCAGATGTTAGCATCGTAGGCACACTGGCTCGGCTCTTGTCCGACCCCAACCCCCATTAACCTGGAGGGGGTGTCTCCACTCACAGCCATTGGCTGTAGTGGTTTTTTTTTTTTTAAGATTTATTTTTATTGGAAAGGTGGATATACAGAAGGAGGAGAGAGAAAGAGGAAGATCTCCCATCCGATGATTCATTCCCCAAGTGACGGTAATGGCTTGAGCTGAGACAATCCGAAGCCAAGAGCCAGGAGCTCCACTGGGTCTCCTACATGGGTGCAGGGTCCCAAGGCTTTGGGCCATCCTCGGCTGCTTTCCCAGGCCACAAGCAGGGAGCTGGATGGGAAGCAGGGCCAGCAGGATTAGAACTGGTGCCCATATGGGATCCTGGCACGTGCAAGGCGAGGACCTTAACCACTATGCTATTGCACCAGGCCCCCCCTTTTTTAAAGATTTTATTATTATTATTATTGGAAAGTCAGATATACACAGAGTAGTAGAAACAGAGAGGGATATCTTCTGTCCGATGAGTCATTCCACAAACCACTACAACAGCTGGAGTTAAGCCCATCTAAAGCCAGGAGCCAGGAGCCTCTTCTGGGTCTCCCACGTGGGTCAGGGTTCCAAGGCTTTGGGCTGTCCTCAGCTTCTTTCCCAGGCCACAAGCAGGGAGCTGGATGGGAAGCGGGGGCCACCGGGACACGAACTGGTGCCCATATGGGACCTCAGTGCATTCAAGGCGAGGACTTCAGCTGCTAGGCTACCACGCCGCCCTAGCTTAGGTTGTTAATCTTCATCAGTGACCCCGTGAATAGAGATCCTGACCTTCACTTGAGGTTGCCCTCAGAGGGGTGAGTAGCAGAGGGGAGGCCCAAGCCCACGGCTGTGTAACCAGAGCTTGGTTCCTTCACCACTGGCTGCAGCAGGTAGGGAACGAAAGGGCGCATGAAGGAGCAGCTGCCTTCTGCTGGGTTGGGGTGGGGAGGGAAAAGAGTTGGAAGACAATAGGCATTTTGTGGCCAAGCGAGTCCCACCTCTTTCCTGGCCTGTTGGTGCAGAATTTGCTGCAAAGGGCTGCTGCAACAAAGTGGCTTGCTTTAGCCTTTGTTATCTCTGTAATACTCTCTTGGCATGGTTCGTGTAGCATGGTGCCTGCCCCTGCTGCTGGGGGTCCAGGTTTGTGATCTGTCAGGCCCTGGCTGAGTGCCTGCCTCCTGGTACTGAGCAAGCCACACTCAATGCCTGCCAGGTACTTAAAGACAACATACTTGCGAGGCCTTACGGAGACGAGTGTCCCGTGGGCATGGGAGAGTGACTGATGGAGGAAATGCCCTGGAGAGATGGTAACACACAGTAGGGAGCTGCTTCACCTCATCTGCCGTGGGAGGCCATAGTTCAAGTGGGGTGACAGGTGGTGGAGTAGAGGGGTGCAGCACTGCTTCCCATCCATCTCCCTGCTTGTGGCCTGGGAAAACAGTTGAGGATGGGCCAAAGCCTTGGGACCCTGCACCCGTGTGGAGCAAGTTCCTGGTTCCTGGCTTCAGATGGGTGCAGCTCTGGTCATTGATACCGCTTGGGGAGTGAATCATCAGGTGGAAGATCTTCCTCTCTGTCTCTCCTCCTCTCTGTATATCTGACTTTCCAATAAAAATACAATAAATCTTAAAAAAAAGTAGGGTTTTTTTTTGTAATTTTGTTATTACTATTATTCATTTTCATTTTATTGGAAAGATAAATTTACATAGAGTAGGAGAGACAGAAATATCTTCCATTCACTGGTTCATTCTCCAAATGGTAACAATGACCAGAGCTGAGCTGATCCGGAGCCAAGAGCTTTTTTTTCTGGTTTCCCACGTGGGTGCAGGGTCCCAAGGCTTTGGACCATCCTCGACTGCTTTCCCAGGCTGCAAGCAGGGAGCTGGATGGGGAGCAGGGCTACCAGAACATAAACCAGCACCCATATGGGATCCTGGCACTTGCAGAGGAGGATTAGCTAATTGAACCATCGTGCCAGGACCCTTGGAAAGAATATTTTTGCATTTCTTCTTCACTCTTTTTTTCTCCTTGATTTTCTTTTCTCTCATTTCTTTTCTCTCTTCTGCCATTAGCCTGGATAAACTTCTTGATGCTGGTCTTTATACTGGAGAAGTAACTGAAATTGTGGGAGCCCCGGGTAGTGGCAAAACTCAGGTATGTGTGAGGCCTGCAGCCAGGAGGACTGACAAGGGTGGGTGTCAAACCCTGGCTCCCTGACGGTTCTGCCACTGTGGGTTTAGAGTTCAAAAAGGTAAGGTGAACGAGGAAGCTTGCACTTGGCCCTTCTATGTCACTGGAATCCGGGCAAGATGTGGTGGGGAGCTCCCATCCTGCACCCCCTGGGAGGGCTCACGTTCCCCTGGCCCCCTGGCCTCCACTCAGGTGTGTCTGTGTGTGGCTGCATCTGTGGCCCACAGCCTACAGCAGAACGTCTTGTACATTGATTCCAATGGAGGGCTGACAGCCTCACGCCTCCTCCAGCTGCTCCAGGCTAGAACCCACGATGAGGAGGAACAGGTGAGAGGTGGGACAGCTGGGTTTCCTTGGGCTTCTGACAAGGGAAGACCCTGTGATCCCCTCCTTTTCGAGGCTTCAGGCTGTTTGGGTGAATAACCATTTCTTGCTTTTAACACTTGTTTTTCTGGAAACACTTCCCCGTAGACCATAAGCCTCTCCTGTTAACATCACCATCCCAGCTTGGATGCCACCCACGCCCTCCCTTCCAGGAAACTTTCCCAGCATATTTGGGCTGGCAGAAACCCAACATTTTTGTTTCCAGCCCATGTCTTGCCTGTGGCAGGCATTGCTAGTCAATTGTATCACACTTTTCCATGACTCAGTACCCAAGCTGTAAGAACTGGCCCATTAGAGACAAAGCCCATTTGCCATCCTGGACCTCCTCGGATCCAATTGTCTCTTTCCCTTCTCACTTTGTGATTCCCCACCCCTTCCCCACCCTTGCCATCCTTGACCCCGGCACCCTCTTATTCAAAGTCCTTGCTTCCTGGGGTCTCCCGCCCTGCTACAGGCAGCAGCTCTGCAGCGGATCCAGGTGGCACATGCATTTGACATCTTCCAGATGCTGAGTGTGCTGCAGGACATCCGAGGCACCATAGCCCAGCAGGTGAGACCGCTGTTGTGCCACTCCCCGCTCTTCCTGTTGGCCAGGCGCTGGCAGGTATTGTATCCTCCTGCAGGCTCCAGGAGCACCGAAGTGCTTGCCAGTAATAGAAAGCCTCTTGAACAAGATTTCTTCCGCTTGTGTCTGCATTCCCCATCAGATCGTGAGGAATACCTTAAGCTGCAAGTAAGAGAGGCTGACAGAGAGTGAACTTCAAGGACATTTAATGATTTCATGTGAGCCTGGGGACTGGCATATACCTCATATCAGAGCACTAGATTTTTGTGTCTGATTCTCTTGCCTCTCTCTTCATGATTGTGGCTGCTTCAGCTTGAAGCGTCTTATCTTCACACAGCCACATCCATATTCAGAGCAGTTGAGAGAGAGATGGCTCTTTTCTGTACTTTGCTTTTTATGAGGAAACAAAATCTCGTGTTCACACTGGGAAACTTCTTTTTATCCTCCGTACATTTAGTTGGACAAAAATGAAATGCTATATCTATTTTAAAAAAAGAGAGATTTATTTTATTGGAAAGGCAGATGTACAGAGACTGACATACTGAGAGAAAGGTCTTCCATCTGCTGGTTCACTCTGCAAGTGGCTGCAATGGCTGGAGTTGAGCTGATCCGAAGCCAGGAGCCAGGAGCTTTTTCTGGTTCTCTCATGTGGGTGTGGGTCCCAAGATTTTGGGCCATCCTCAACGTCTTTCCCAGGCCAGGAGCCAGGAGCTGGATGGAGTGACTGGAGTGCCTGGGGTCTGAGGAGCCACCACTGCTTCTGACGTGGCTTCCGCCGATGCCTCTGAGAGGTAGCAGATGATAGCTTTGGCTTCCTGCCACCTATGTAGGACCTGGATTAAGTTGCAGGCATCCCAAGCAGCATTGACACAAGATGCAGTACTGCATCCATCCCACATATTCTCATCTTTGTGTTTGTTATTGAAATATTTCAAAGGCAGAACAACAGAGGATCTCCCAGATGCTTGTTTATTCTCCCAGTGCCCATAACGGCTGGGCTGGGCTGGGCCACAGCGAGGCTAGGAGTTAGGAACTCCATGTAGATCTCCCTCATGAACACGGACCCCAGGGTGTATATCAGCAGGAAGCCCGAAAGATCCAGAACCGAGATCTGAGCTTCTGTTGTAGGATGTAGGTGTCCCAAGTGGTACATCAAATACTGGTTCATTTTTATTAATTTTTATTTAGTTGAAAGGCAAGCAGGAAAGAAAGATCTTCAACCCTGTCACTCCCTCAGTGTTCACCACAGCCAGGACTGGGTCCGAGCAAAGCTGGGAATCAGGGACCCCATCCTAATCTCCCGTGTGGATGGCAGAGACCCGAGTCCTTGAGCTGTCACGTGTTGCTTCCAGTGGTGCCCATCAGCAGGAACTAATTGGATGGGAAGCTGAGCGGGGACTTCCGCTGGCACTCCGACATGAGATGCTTTTCCTGAAATCCAAACACTCTCTCTTCCTGAGCTTTCAGTAGAGTCTGTCAGGTGTGTCAGTGCGGGCTTGTTGACGTTCCCTGACACCTTCTGCCGCCATATTTGGGGCTGGGGAAGTTACATCATTTTCTGATGGAGAAGCCAGCTTGTCTGACACTGGGTGCCCCCCGAGACCACTGGCTCATGGCACCTGCTTCTCCGATCCCTGCAGGTGTCTGGTGCTTCAGGGACGATGAAGGTAGTAGTCGTGGACTCGGTCACCGCTGTAGTCTCCCCACTTCTGGGAGGGCAGCAGAGGGAAGGTAAGTGGTGTCACCAAGCCTGGGATGAGGGATGTGGAGTCCGCTGTGTGGCCCACCCAGTCCCTGGCCTCTGGCTTTCTTCGCTCTCTGCTTTTCTCCCAGGCTTGGCGTTGATGATGCAGCTGGCCCGAGAGCTGAAGACCCTGGCCCGGGATCTCGGCATGGCAGTGGTGGTGAGCAAACGGACTTGGGCGATGAGCTTCATTTTTAGTCAGATTTCCCTTTATTTCCTGTGAATGGCAATTTCTGAACCTCAAAAAAGGAGAGACAAAAGATCATCTGTCCAACGATTCACTCCCCAAACGACCACAACAGCTGGAGCTGCACTGATATGGGATCCCAGCACATGCAAGGCTAGGACTTTAGCCACTAGGCTACCGTGCCAGGCCCTGGCCTTGTTTTTTTCTTTAAGATTTATTTTATTTATCTTTTATTGGAAAGTCAGATATACAGAGAGGAGGAGAGACAGAGAGGAAGATCTTCTTCCCACTGATTCACTCCCCAAGCGGTATCAATGGCCAGAGCTGCACTGATCCAAAGCCAGGAGCCAGGAGCTTCTTCCAGGTCTCCCACGCGGGTGCAGGGTCCCAAGACTTTGTGCCATGCTCGACTGCTTTCCCAGACCATAGCAGGGAGCTGGATGGGAAGCAGGGTTAGCAGGATTAGAACCTATGTGGTAGCCTAGTGGCTAATAGTCACCATATATATAAATAAATTATGTATACAATTAAATATATAAGTTATATGTCATTTATATATTTATATATTACATATAAATTATATATATAATTTTTTTTTAATTTGAAAGGCAGAGAGAGAGATCTTCCATCTACTGATTACTCCTCAAATGCTGCCAACAGCTGGGGCTAGGTCAGGCTGAACCAAGAGCCTAACAGGGACCCAAGAACTTGAGCTACCCTTCCTAATTTTCCCAGGCACATTAGCAGGGAGCTGGAATGGAAGTGAAGCAGCCGGGACTTGAACTGATGCCGATATGGAATGCCAGCACCACAGGCATTGGCTTAACTCACTGTGCCATGGCACTGACCCCTGGGTGTTTCTTTGTGCTGCAGGTGACCAACCACGTGACCCAAGACAGGGAGAGTGGGAAGGTTAAACCTGCTCTCGGACGCTCCTGGAGCTTTGTGCCAAACACCCGGGTACTCCTGGGCATCCCTGAGGGAGCAGGAGCAGCAGGCAGCAGGCGGCGCACAGTGTGTCTGACCAAATCCTCTCGTCAGGTGAGCTGGCCTCTGGGACGCTGCAGGGTAGTTCCCCTGCCCACAGTGTCTTGTAGAATTCTAGACACTGAGACCCTGCAACAAAAAGGGACTACTTTGTTGGCGCTGAATAGCTCAACTTCTCCCTCTCCAGCCGACAGGTATCCAGGAGATTGTGGACATTGGTTCCTGGGGGCCTGCGGAGCTGGGGCCAGCATTACAGGAGGAGCAGACATGACAGTGGCTGTGGACTGGGACGTAGGGGTGCACATGGAACCCCTCATAGTACGTGCTGTTTACTCATCCCTTGGGACTGTTGCGTTCTCAGGCTGGCCAGAGCAGAGAACACTGTCTCTCCAGGGCTACAGGCCGCAGTGGCGGCTGCTCTGCGAGGCCCGAGGATCAGACTCCCTCCCTGGTCCCAGAGAAGCCCCGTGAGCAATTCGGAGCATCTCTGGAAAGGCACATTAATGACTGGCTGGATCAGCCTGAGTGTCTCCGTCTGACCCTACACTGCGTTGTAGCGCAGTGACCCAGCCAGGAGGCCTGCGGCTTGCCAACCTTGATTCCGTCTCACTGTTATTTTTTTGGGGGAAGTGGGGAATGAGCCTGGAGAGTGCAGTTAGGGGGGGACTCTGTGTTTGGATCAGTAAGTCGGGCTCCCTTTGTGTTCCCTTAGTTACTGGGGAAATAACCTCCTAAGTGCAAAACTTGTCTGTGTCCTGCTCTCGAAAATAGAAAAAGGAACTTCACTGAGCTGATGTCCCTAAAAGGTGGTTTTTCCGCAAGGTTACAAAGAATGGTTATTCCTCTTCTCTTTTTACTGGTTTGGTTTCACATACCTGCAAGTGTCCCCATGACCGGGTGGGAATGTGAGCTTGCAGCAGTCCCAGGGATATAAGTTAACAGGGAGGGAAGCTGTGAACTCCCCGTGAATCCAGCCTTGTGTTTAATATGCATGGTGCCCCATGGGGCCCTTCCACAGGATGGAGTAAGCAAAGGTGCTGGACCGTGGCCTGGCCCGCAAACGGAGGGGAATGCTCAGTCAAGCCAGCTGGGAAGATTGATGCTGGCATCAATCATACATGGCAAACCTAGTCCGTTATGTAGAAGCTCATTGCTGGTGGCTCTGAGATGCAATATAGCTGCACCTTTTCCTGCCAGCTATCCCACAGCCTCATGCCCCAGTGTGTGAAACCAGCCTCCTGTTATCAGCACTGTGGCCATCTGTCCAGCAGTGATTACCCCATCTGGGAGGGGAGTGCAGAATAAAAGACAAAGTAAACAAATAGTTGGAGTTGCTTACTGCCCATATATTTTACTCTTTTTTTTTTTTTTGGACAGAGTTTCGATCCCTGATTCACCCCCTAATTGTCCACAATAGCTATGGTTGGGCCAGACTGAAGCTCGAACTGTGAATCCATTGCAGGAACCTCACATGGGTGGCAGGGACCCAGCCACATGAGCCATCACCCGCTGCTTCCCATGATCTGCCACAGCAGGAAGCTAGGAGCAGGAGTGGAGCAAGTGGGGGCTCAAACCCAGGCATGTGGTCATGGGGTACAGGTGTCCCAAGTGGGGGCTCAAACCCAGGTGTGTGGTCATGCGCACAGGTGTCCCTAGCAGTGTCCTGATGGCTATGCTGATTTTTCCCTGACCACATTTTTTTTTAATGTTTATTTTTTTCACTTACTTGAGAAACAGAGATGAAGAGATGTCTTCCATCTGCTGGCCAACTCCCCACATGCCTACGACAGCCAGGGCTGGGCCAGGCTGAGGTCAGGAACCTGGAACTCTGTTTGGGTCTCTCATGTAAGAGATACTTGAGCCGTCACCCAGAATGCCTCGCAGGACCCACTAGCAGGGAGTGGGACTTGAACTGGCCCTGTAATATGAAATGTGGGCATTCCAAGTCATGGTCTAACCTGCTGTGCCACATGCTAGCCCCAACTACAGTTCATTTAATTCTTTTGAAAAACATTTATTTATTTGAAAGGTAGAGTCATAGAAGGAGCAAGCAGGTGAGACAGCTTCCATCTACCGGGTCATTTCCCAAACGTGCAAAGGCACAAGGGCATTTAAACCTGTGACTTATCCTCTAGGCTAAACAACTGCCCATTAGTGTGGTAACAAAGATGACATAAGAAGAATGCAGGAATGTTTTTCTCCTGAATCTCCAGAGCCTTTTTTACCCCCACATTTTTCCACAAAAGACTATTGAATGTCCTTCATCTGAAATTAGGCAAAATTGGGGCCAGCGTGGTAGTGTAGCAGCTAAAAGTCCTCATTTGTATGTGCTGGGATTCCATAAGGGCGCCGGTTCTATTTCCGGAGGTCCTGCACCCATACGGGAGACCTGGAAGAGGCTCCGGGCTCCTGGTTTTGGATCAGCTCAGCTCTAGCTATTGCAGCCACTTGGGGGCTGAATCAATGGACAGAAGATCTTCCTCTCTGTCTCTTCTCCTATCTGTATATCTGACTTTCCAATAAAGAATAAAATCTTTTTTTAAAAAAAGAAATTGGGCAAAATTAATATTGACTCCCTATGATGTGGTAGCACTCAATGGCCTTCAAGCAGCCATTTAAACTCCTGGAGGTTGAGGTTAAAGTGCCTTTGTAGATGGAGGCTGCTTTCCCCTGCAAGAAACAAAATGTGGCATGCAGAAGCCTGAACAGTAAGACCAGTTCTAATCTTTAATAACATGTAGTCCACATTGGTTAATTTAGTGGCTCAGTCAATAGACCCAGGGCCTTTCCAGCCTCCTCCCGTGTTGTTTTTGGTGTCAGCTATGTTCTCACGTGCAGTGCTCTGATCAGAGTCTGGCTGCAGCCAGTCGAAGCATCAAGTCGGGTGTGACGATATCTATGGGCAAGAAAGGAATCTGCTTGTGACCTTTTCAGAACAAAGCAGGTGGTGGGAGCAGGCACAGCAGATTAAAGCTCACACTGACGTGCTTGGGTTCAAGTCCCACCTCTGCTTCCAATCCAGCTCCTCCTAATGTGTTCAAATAGTTGGGTCCCTCCCCGCCACGTGGAAGACCTGGAGTTCCTGTCTCAGCTTGGCCTGGCCCAGCCCTGGCTGCTGAGGGCATATGGGGAGGGAACCAGCAGATGACAGATATCTTTCTGACTCTGTACCTTTCAAATAGGATGAAAAATAAAAAAAGAAAATAAAGGAACACTCAGACCTTCCTTCCAAGCAAAGCAGACTTCATGTCTCTGAGTCAAAATGTCTTCATGGACCCCTGTCTCGTTTAGTAACTGGCAAGACAAATGGGATAACTGTGATGGGCTCAGACCCACCTGGAAACAGCTCTGGAACACCAGCTGGGACGGACTGTAATGCAGTGGATGATAGGGTGTGTGTGTGTTGGGCAGTGATTGGGTAGGCCTGTGTGTGTGTGTGTGTGCGTGTGTTGGGCAGTGATTGGGTAGGCCTGTGTGTGTGTGTGTGCGTGTGTTGGGCAGTGATTGGGTAGGCCTGTGTGTGTGTGTGTGTGTGTGTTGGGCAGTGATTGGGTAGGCCTCTGTGTGTGTGTGTGTGTGTGTGTGTGTGTGTGTGTGTGTGTGTGTATGCGCGTGCGAGTGTATTGGGCAGCGACTGGGTAGGCCTCTGTTACCCTGCACGGTCCTGAAGTTGGTTGTGTTGGGACTCACATGTGTGCTCAGGACCTTATATGCCTCATTGTGGCCTTGGCACAGCCTTGTGGCACAGGACACTATTCTGTACAGACACAGGAGCTCAGTGAGTGGGAGGATGGGAACCCAGACTCCAGTCTGCCTGGTGCCAAGTCCACCCCTTCCCACCCTTGTGTTCCCTACAGCTGTAACTGTGTGTCCCAGCAAGAGTCTTTTTTACACTGCTCCCCAATAGCAGGCGGGCTGCACAGCCCCACCTACCTCTCTTCAGCTTGGATACGAGCTTACTTCATCAACTCTTTCTCATTTCCCTCAGGGAAGTTAAGAGAATTGGCAGATACTCAGGGAAGGCAGGTATGGCTAGAATGAAAGAGAGCTGGAGGGTTAGGTGAAAATCAATAAAGCTGATTAGGAGACATCAGTGTCTGTTTATTCCTAAGACGTGCGCCCCAAGGAGACAAGGGATTGCGTACGTATCTGTGTTCAAGCATGGAGCTGTCTGGGTAGTGCGCCAGCTGTTTGTTGAGGACGAGCATCAGAGAAGGTTCTGTGGGGCACACACTGTTTAAATTAAAACTACGTGTGTGATTAATTAGTCACTTTGAATGCTCTTCATCTTTTTTTTTTCTTGTTGTATTGCGTCAGCTGCATTACCTTCAGTGCTCTGTAGAAAAGAAACGGTAGCCAACGTGCTTGTCTTATTCCCGACCTTCGTGGACTGTGTCTCATATTTATTTTAGGTATAGTCACGTATCGCTGGGAAGGAGGCTTACCATGCCTGGAGATGCTCATGCCAGCCTCCCCAGTAGGCAGGGCTGGCTTCATGGTGTGACTGGTGCTGCCTCACAGGTTTTAGTTTAACGTTCTGCTGTTGCCGTCTTGAAGTTCTGAAGTCTTGACCAAGGGACCCACCTTTTGCGCTGTGCCCACAAATTATGCAGCCAGTTCTGTCTCCAGGAGCCAGTCGGGCTCTAGTACTGGTTCCTCTCTCTGGGAAGCCTCCTGACCTCTGGGGGAGTAACTCCCTTGAGAGAATAAGTTCCCATAGGAAAATTAGGGTTACCATCCTGTAAATGCTTACTTACTAAGGTGACCTCAGCAATCACTCTGAGAAAAAGAACACTGCATTTTACAGAAATCACTGGGGCCAGGTCAGTTATGATAGATTCATGAAGTGGAATGAGGACAAATCGGGATTTTGTACACAGGAAAAAAATGCAGGTTCAAAATCCTGCTGGGTCCTTTGTGGCTGTACCACTTTAAGGTGGGGTGTCTGGATGACAGGAATTGTATTTTGCTTCTTGGGAAGATGTGCATCTCAGAGGAATTAAACACAGTTTATGTGACATGTCTTTCACAGAAGGTCTGGCACACAGTAGGTGCCCAGCCACCATCAATCTTTCTGATTTGCCAAAAACAAGCAAAAACCAGGGCACAGGTACTGACAAGACCTACTGCCTGTGACAGAGGAAATAATTTGATTTATTTTTTCACTACTGTTTGGGGAAAGGCATGTGCTTCATAAATATGTATTGGAAAGTACTTAGCAAATGAGTAGAAATAATAAAAATACGTCAAAGTAAACAGCTCCTATAAATATGTCACTGCGTAGACACATTAGTGTTTTATTGTGACTAAGTATCTCTGCTTGCTGGAAAGCATTTCGGATCACGGGCACAATGGGCACATTATTGAGTGCCTCTGCAGAGGGGCATGATAAAGATGAAAAATGGGGATGGTGATAACGGGGAAGGTGGAGGAGTGTGGGTTCATGTAGCGCTGAGGCCTCCTGGCTCCAGCGATAGGAACATCCTTTGACAGCACTGCGATGATGAATTGTAATCTCAACCAGAGGGCCTGGGAACAGTTATTTTCATGAGATGCCATGAATCCAGACACCGATGATTGGGTCCAGGGGGAAAGTAAGTACGCTTCCTGTCAAGTTCACAGAAAGGCAGGTCTGGGTTGTACAGTCCATCCCCCAGCCCGCCCTTACCGCCCTTACCGGCTGGGTTGGGTAACTTCCTGTGGCTAGCGTTCCTACTGGGAGAAGGAGAGAGGGCGGAGCACGCTGTGCCTTCATCACAGCCTGTGGGAAAGAAGAGATTGGCCTGGGCAAGAAGCAAAAAAAGGCTGGGAGACACATCAGGCAGTTACCAAAATAGCCAAGTAGGAAAGAGTATAGGCGTTTCAGTCAGGTGCACGACTAAAGGCTGGTCTTTCCAGGCTGCCCAGGCAGTGGAAAGAAATAGTTTCACATTCCAGCTCTTTTCCAACTGTGGCTTTGGGTAAAGTGACTTAAGGTCTGGGTTACATGGAGACCATGAGAATAACACTACTCAGTTTGCTGGGTGGTGGTGGAGGTTGGAAGTAGCAATACATAGTGACAACTTTAAGAAAAGATATATTTATTTTTATGGGAAAGTCAGATGTACAGAGAAAAGGAGAGATAGAAAGATCTTCCATTTGCTGGTTTACTCCCCAAATGGCTGCAATGGCCGGAGCTGAGTTGATCCAAAGCCAGGAGCCTGAAGTTTCTTCCAGGTCTCTGACCCGGGTGCAGGATTTGGACCATCCTCCACTGCTTTCCCAAACCACAAGCAGGGAGCTGGATTGGAAATGGAATAGCCAGGATATCACCCAGTGTCTTTATGTGTTGTGGGCTAAGGAGTTGACTAGCACTACAGGCAGTGGGCTTGCGGTTAGAAGCACCTGGTCTCAGCTGTACCCAACATGCACTAAAGCAGGTGTGGGGTAAAGAGTCAACAAGAAGTAGGTGAAAGGTCAAGAGAGGAGACACTAGAGGGAGGCCTTGGAGAGACTTGAGGGGGAGACTTCCACCATGAACAGTCATAAGTCTATCATGCTGTTATTGAAGTGTTTCCCACATTATTTATTTATTAAAAAGATTTATTTATTTGTTGCAAAGTCAGATATACAGAGAGGAGGAGAGAAAGAGAGGAAGATCTTCCGTCTGATGATTCACTCCCCAAGTGAGCACAACGGCCGATGCTATGCCAGCCCGAAGCCAGGATCCAGGAACCTCTTCCGGGTCTCCCATACAGGTGCAGGGTCCCAAAGTATTGGGCTGTCCTGGACTGCTTTCCCAGGGCCACAAGCAGGGAGCTGGATGGGAAGTGGAGCTGCCAGGATTAGAACCGGCGCCCCTGTGGGATCCTGGCGTGTTCAAGGTGAGGACTTTAGCCACTAGGCCACGGCTGCCAGGTCCCACATTATTTATTTTTAAAGCTTTATTTGAGGGTCTGGTGCTGTACCACACCAGTTGAGCTGCTGCCTGCAGAGCCAGTATCTTGTATAGGCACCTGGCTGCTCCATTTACCATCTAGCTCCTTGCCAACGGCCTAGGAACACAACAGAAAATAAGCCAAGTGCTTGGACGCTGGCATCCAACTGAAAGACATGGAAGGAAATCCTGGCTCCTGGCGTCAGCCTGGCCTTGCTCGGCCATTGCAGAGCGAGCCAGCAGATGGAACAGCTTTGTCTTTTTGTTCGTAGCTCTTTCAAATAAATCTTAAAACAAAACACTTTTGAAAGGTAGAAATACAGAGAGACAGAGAATGAGACAAGAATCCCGGGGGTTTAAATTAGGATCTGCTAGAGGAGGGATGTGTTATAAAGGGAGTGGGATAAAGTCAGATGCAGTGGCCTAGCGGCTGGAGTCCTTGCTTTGCACGCCCCTGGATCCCATTTGGGTGCCGGTTCTAATCCCGTTGGCCCTGTTTACCATCGAACTCTCTGCTTATGGCCTGGGAAGGCAGTTGAGGACGGCCCAAAGCCTTGGAACCCAGCACCCACGTGGGAGACCTGGAGGAAGTTCCTGGCTCCTGGCTTCGGATTGGCTCAGCTTCAGCTGTTGCAACTACTTGGGGAGTAAATCAACGGAAGGTAGATCTTCCTCTCTGTATATTGCTTTTCCAATAAAAATAAATCTTAAAAAAGGCAGATTTCAAAAGCATTTACTTAATATTTATTTTATGTGAAAGAGAAAGGCTGAGATCTTCATCTGCCGGTCCTGCCCCGATGCCAGCGCTAGCAGGGGCTGGGAGCCTGGAGCCCGGGTCTCCCAGGTGCTGGCAAGGATCACACTTGAGCAATCCCAGCTGGTTCCAGGAGGCTTGCAATTAGGAGCCCTCCAGGACTTGAACCTAGGCCCTTACTGATCCAAGAGTTAAGATGTAAAGCATTGCTCCAAATGTCTGCGGAGCCTGAGTTCTGCTGTCCTGTCCTGGCTTCCAATGCCCGTGACCTTGGTAAGGTAACCTAAACGCTAAATTCCTCATGCGTGAACTCGTGAACCATCGCTTGCTCATAGCATTGCTAAGAAACAAAGAGATGAAAAAGAGGCAAACTTCTGTGTGTGTGTGTGCTTAAAGATTTATTTATTTTTATTTGAAAGTCAAATATACAGACAGGATGATCTTTCGTCTGATGGTTCACTCCCCAAGTGATTGCAATGGCCAGTGCTGCACTGATCCAAAGCCAGGAGCCAGGAACCTCCTCCAGGTCTTCCACGAGGGTGCAGGGTTACAAGGCTTTGGGCCATCCTCAACTGCTTTCCCAGGCCACAAGCAGGGAGCTGGATGGGAAATGGGGTCACTGGGTTTAGAACTAGTACACATAGCGATCCCGGCGCGCTCAAAGCGATAACTTAAGCCACTAGGCTACCGCGCTGGGCCCGTGTGTTTGTGTGCGTGTGTTTACGTTTTATTTATTTCTAAGAGTAACAGAACTTCGATCTGCTGGTTCATTCCTTCACTCCCCAGATGGTCACAAAAGCCAACGGCAGGAGCTTCCCTGGGTCTCCCACGTATTTTTTGCAGAGGCCCAAGCACCTAAGCCATCATCGTCCGAGAGCCGGACTGCAAGTGGAGCAGCCGGGACTTACGGGATTTGAGCATCAAGGCAACGTTCAAGTCCAGCGATGGTGAGACTCGATCGAGGTGACCAAGCTGAACGCTAGCTCCGCAGAGACCTGTTACCTGCACGCTGAGGCCGCCTGCAGCGCACCGCCCGACCTAGGAGAGCAGCCGAGGCCCGCGCTGCGACCAGGGGCGCACCGCTGCCGAGAGCCTCGTCCCCGCCGCCAGGGGGCGCGCGCGCAGAGGCCGCGCTCTAGCCCGCCGCGCGCCCGCTCCTCTCTATGGTGGCTCGGCGCCGCGGGAGCGGACGCGCGCTCTCCCCGAGGGGGCGGGGCCGCGCGAGGGGCGGGGCGGCCGGGCCGCCGGGGGGCTGGGTGGTGGTGGGGGCCGACTTCCTGGGGCCGCCCGAGAGGATGTCGCCACCGGCCCCGGGCGCCCCTCAGCGCTGGACCGGCCGGCGCGGCGAAGCCCGTGGGCCCCCCGCCTGAGGCGTCGGCCGCCCGGGATCCCTCCCAGGTGCGGGCTGGGCCGGCGGCCGCGGCAGGTGAGGAGGTGGGGTGCGGCGGGAGCATGGGGGGCGGGGGGCAGCGGCTCGGCCTCCGCCGCCCTGCAGGGGCTGCGGTGTGGGCGCCTGGGCGGCGGGGCGCCCGGCTCTCCCCACGGCCGCCGCGGGTGGGCTGAAGCCCCTTCCTCACCGGAAGCGCCGGCATTCCGGGCAGCCCGCACACACCTGTCTCGGGAGGAGTCCTTTGGAGAGGAGGCGTCTCACCTGTGGGGGCGGTGACCGGGGCCGCGGTTCTCCGCCTCTTCCCCAGCGCCCTCAGCCCCGCGGGTGTGCGGTCGGCTGCCGGGAGGGAAGGGTGCTTCTCCCTACGGCCCGTGGCCACTGAGGCAGGTCCGCGGCAGCCTGCTGGCCCGCTTCGGCTGGTGGAAGAGCCCGGGTGGCTGCCTGCAGGAGGGAGGTTTGGAGTTGGGAGGTTGCATCAAGTTTGGGATTGCGGCGTCCCTCTCCTGGGAGTCGTCCTCTGCGAGGACGGTGTGAGGTCGCCCTGGGCGGCGGTGACTAAGCCGCGGAGAGGGCACTGGGGCCTCACTGCAGCTGGCTGCCCAGGAGACATTTGACCGGGCACGGGGCAGTCTGGCTAGCACAGGGCAGGCGACAGGCTCGCTGGCATCTTTCTCCAGCTTGATTTCAGGCTTGCCCGGTGTGACCCACAGCCGTGCACTTTTCTGCTTCTTGATCAGTCATTTGTTCTGGGAAGGGAAAAAAGTGCTGGTGTCATGAAGGAAGAGTGAGTGTCCCACGCCCCGCCCAGCCTGCCAGGGGAAGGACTGTGGTCAGTTTGGAAACGGCTTTACCTACAACTGTCGCTTTGCGTTCAAGGCTGGGGTGACGGATGATCAAACATCCCTGCTTACCAGTGGCCTTCTAAGAAACCAGTAAGTTCCTCTGTATCCCTGTGAGCGGTGGTTTGTGGGACAGAGACTTCATGTCCCCACTGTTGGTACAACTGTTTGAATTCTTGTGGGTCTCCCAGTGACAGTTGCATTTACTGACAAGTGGGTGAGGCTGGCCCTTCCTTGCATCGCTTTTCTAGGAATGGGAGCCAGCACCGCCGTGCTGGGCTGCGAGCTTGTAGACAGAGTTCCAGGACTGGGAGCTGGAACTTGTTTTTTGGATGACTTTTTTTTTTTTTATTCTGTTCCCCTGATTGCCTGATATTTTACATTTAGGGAGCTAGGTGATGACGTTTTTTTCTGAAACTAACATACTCCCTAGACTTGAGTGCAATTCATAAATGACAGTTTCTTTTAAGGTGTAATTGAAGTCTAAAGAGGTTTGGTTATAATGTGTAAGTGCAGAGAAATGACAGGGTTAACTGATCACTTGCCTGTGTGTGTCATTTAAGGATGTTTGGGTGCTCGGTGCATCTAGGACGGGCCACCCGCTGAAAGCATCCTTGTTGATCAGGGAGTTCGAGGATAAAGTCTTTCCATTAACTGCTAAAATAAGACGTACAAGAGAAAGCTGCCCTCAGAAAACTGCAGTTAGTTTTGAAACTTTTTACCTGGGTAGTTTACACAGCTTGGCTTAGTTCTCTCTGATAGGAGCGGCTTCTCAAGGGCCATTGAAATAGTGGAAAAGGCGTTTTCCACTGAACATCTTTGAAGAAGACAGTTTCTTCTACTGACAAGTGATTCGCTGGTTCACTCCCCAAATGGCTGCATCAGCCACTGCTGGGCCAGGCTGAAGCCAGGAGTCTGGGGCTGCTTCTGCATCTCTCCTCAGGGTGCCTGGGCCCAGGCACTAGGACCGGCCTCTGCTGCTTTCCCACGCCATTAGCAGGGAGCTGGATCACAAGTGGAGTGGCCAGGACTTGAACTGGTGCCCATACAGGATACTGGCACCATAGTCGGAGGCCTAGCCTACTCTACCTTCCTGCCGGGCCTGTGCAACTTTCCTGATGATGTATATGTTGCAGCTGGGCCATGAAAGCACCTGCATATCCTTGAAGAACGTTAGCAAGATTTAATTCCACCTTGACTTTTATTCTTGTAGTAGAGTATTTAATACTGCCATTGTTTTAGTAATAGATTAACCAAACTTGAAGTGTTTTGGGCGTAGTGTTTGTTTTGAGAGGATTTAACATCCAGACTTTAGACTATCATAATTCCTACAAAAGAGTTAAGCTGTAATTTAGAGTTTAGTGGGGATATCCAAGTTTAAGTTGTGGTGAAGTCTCGGAGGAGTTCATTCAGTATTACTAACTGGTTATGGTTATTAGTTACTTTTGTTTGTGTAGTGGTTAGCCACACTTTGTGTTTATGGAAGATTTTGCAGTTATAAAGAACCATGGTCAAGTGTAAAGACGTAGATTTCCCATTTGTTTCGTAGGGAAACAGTCTGGTCGCTTCCTTAAAGTTTTGTGATTTAGTGGCGTTTTAAAATCCCAAGAGTAGTCAGGTTCTTAATGGGAAATCCTCTTCTGTTTCACATAAAAGCCACCTCTGGCTGCAGTGTGCTCAGCACTGCCTATTTGCAGGACTTGGGGGTTGTGGTGTCAGGACTCTGTTCATATCTAACCTCGTCGCACCAGTTTGATCCTGTTAGCCTTTCACCAGGTTCCTCTTGCGCTTCGCTTGTTTGGCTGAATGCTCTACATTATTGATGCATTTGGGCCTGTTGACGTTCTGAAGTGGAGCTAAGCAGTTGGTTAAAAGTCTTGCATGTTTTTAAACATTTTCCTTTCTATAAAATCTGTGTTACCTCGGGCAGAGAGAACTGGCTCTTTGAGAGTAAAACAGAGCTGGTGGCGTTTCCAGCTTTCCACCAATGGGCAGTCTGTGTTAAACCTTCCTTTCTGATTTCGCCAGGACTGTGAGTGCTAGTGAATGATGACCCAGTAACGTGGGGAATTCTTTTAGTCTCCTGAATCATTAAAGGAAGGTTCCAGTGTATTGCTGTTAAGCTATTGTATTGCTTGGAGTTCCTAATGGCCAGTCGCTCCCAGAAAAATTCAGTCCTGGGTGGTTTGTGATGAGTCACCTGGACAGGCTTTGAAAATGCAGATTGCCCAGCCCCACCTCCTGGAGGTTGTAACCCTTTGGGTAAGTGAGGGATTGGGATTTCGCGTTTGGAAAAGCCCCTCTGGCTTTTACTGCCAAAACAGTCACCAAGTGCTTTGGATAGACAATCGACTTTGTGAACCGTGGTTTTTCTGCGTCGGTTCATGCATACATGTTTATCTGCTGGACGTCAGGTCTTAAGGAACTTTAAAAGTTGAGGTCTGCTTCTCTTCTCCTTTTTAAAACCTCAAAAAACAAACTTTATGTATGCCTTGAAATTCTTTATAAATTGGTAAGCCCTCTGACAGCATCATTATACCACCCAGGATGTTTGATTTGCTAAAATAGCCCATTTCTTAGTCATGACATAACAAAGAGCTTTTATAACTTGCATGTAAATTGCTTTTACATTGAGGTCTGCCTCAGCTGTATTATCAATTCGGGGTCATGAGGGAGGTTTTTTGGTGAAAGTGGCTTCCATTACCTCCTGAGTGGACGAATCAATGATAATGTGGAACCAACTGGAGCTTTGGAAAGGTAGTGGGCTGTGGTTATGATCTGCGTTGGCTAGTGATGCCTAGGAATCTTTGTAGGATTTGAAAGTAAATCCAGCTTGTCAGTTTCATTTCTACACATCTGAGGCCCTTATAGAAAATAGCAGGTGCTTAATAAATGCTCCATTACATTAATCACCAACCCTTTACTGAATTCATAGAAGGAAGGAAAACTGGAATGCAGAACCAGCTGAGTTAAAACAGAAGTGGGCACTTGGTATGTTAGAAGATTAATTTAGGAAAAGCCTGGTCCTTTGAGAATAGACAGTCAGTTTTGAACCGAGGTGTCCGCTTTCTGTGTGTGTCTCTTAACGCTACCTTAGGCAAGTTACTTCTGTGTGCTGCATTTTCTTCTGCTGCAAGATGAAAACAGTGTCTGGTAGGATTCTTTTTTTTTTTTTTTAAAGATTTATTTATTTTTATTACAAAGTCAGATATACAGAGAGGAGGAGAGACAGAGAGGAAGGAAGATCTTCCGTCTGATAATTCACTCCCCAAGTGAGCGCAACGGCCGGTGCTGCGATCTGAAGCCAGGATCCAGGAACCTCTTTCTGGTCTCCCACGTGGGTGCAGGATCCAAAAGCTTTGGGCCATCCTCGAGTGCTTTCCCAGGCCACGAGCAGGGAGCTGGATGGGAAGTGGAGCTGCCGGGATTAGAACTGGTGGCCAGATAGGATCCCGGAGAGTTCAAGGTGAGGACTTTGGTTGCTAGGCCATGGTGCCTGGCACTGTGGTAGGATTACTAATGTGGATTAAAATAGGGGAAATCTACATGTGAGTATTTTTTTTTTATTGTTGCTTACATTATATTATGTAGTACAGTTTTATAGGCGACATGTGAGTATTAAAAGAGAAAATATGTTCTTTATACATTGTACTCAAATCAATAAATATCCTTTCTTCCAGTTTCTCGTAGTACTTGTATTCAGTAGGCTTAGGATATCTAAATCCTGCCTTATAGTATCTCCTTCCGGGAACATCTACTTAGCTAGCAGTTCTCAGAAAGTGAGGGGAAGGCTGAGGACTAAAGTTCAGGATGAGCCTATGGGCAAGAAGGATGAGTCATAGGAAAATTAGTACTACTTTACAATTATTTTTTCAGAATGACTGGAGTGTTGGCACCTCCCCAGAATTACTGTCTGCAGGGAAAAATTCATAACATACAAATTCTGTGTGTATTTAGACCTGAGCCTGTAGCTTGATAAGGCTTGGTGGCGTTGAGGGCGGCCTGGTTAGAAACATCTGACATCTGTTTTCTTCTTTCTTTTGGCATCTCCCTTTGTTTTCCTTTCCTTCTTCTTGGCCCTTTTGCAAGCTGCCCTTTCTTTGGATTTGCCAATCATGTCCTTGTAATTTCAAGCCGGGCCCCTGAAACTGTAGGCTGGAGGAGGCTGCTGGTTGCTAACACCTGTCTCCCAGCTGAATGAATAGGCTCTTTTGTGGGCGGGATGTTAACGAAGCTGATTAGTACAATACTGGCTTAAAGGGTGTATTAATGATAGAGTGTATGCAAATCAAGGAGTGGTTTAAAGCCCTTTTAGTAACTAATTTCTTACATATTTTTATATCATTATGTCAGATGAGTTTTTATATCTGAACCAGGAGTCTGCTTATTGCCTAAACAGACTAATCTCTGTCATATTGATTGGGAATAATTGATATTCTAAAAAAGTTTCTACCCTTGCAGGCTTTGTGTTGTTCAGTAAATGTCTCACTACTGTGTAATACAATTAAAGTTTTGTTCACTGTGTTGCTGACATAATTAGTTTAACTTCTGCTCTTTTATATATTTCTGTTGGCAGGTGGAAAATTAAAACACTAGATATTGAATATAACTGCTTTTCTGAGGGGTGATTTTACTGCCAGTTGAATGGATTTAGGCCCTAGGGTACATTTTTAAAGATGTCTTATTCAACTTTCCCTTAAAAGTCTGTCTGTCTCTAAAGAATTAATATATTAAGACACATCATGGGCTATTTAGGCATTCAGAAGAGATGGTGCTTGGCCTTTTATCCTGTGATTATACTTTTTGCTACATCTCTTTTGAGGAAATATATGTAATTTTCAGAACCTCCTAAGTCTATTATAGTTACATGAGCATATGGCCTTTTGCAAAGACTGGGAAATGGAGTGGCTTTCTGTGATAAGCAGTACTATTTAATTCCCAAATCGTCCTGTTCTTTTTTAGATCATAGTGTTTGCAGGTCTGATGCGAAACTAAGGTTGTGATGCCTGGCAAATCCTCCTCACAATCTTTCTATGATAGGTTTCACAGAATCGACTTTGGTCTTCTAGGAACTGCAAGTAGCTCTCCAGGAGACGTGACAT